AGTTTGGTCTGGTTTGGTCTGATCTGATCTTGTCTGGTCTGGTCTGGGACTGAAAACAGTCCAAAAGAAAACATTCTTACTGCGCACAAGAAATCAGTCTTAAGTAATTCACTGTGCATTAGGTAACCTTCTAAGTTCTAAGTTCTAACTATCATACATTTAAGGATCTGCTGGAATTGGTAATATGATACTCCCTCTGTCCCTAAAAGAAGTTCCATTTCGCTTATCGAGAGTAAACTTAAATCACTCTTAAACTCTTACTTTTTATATCAAAATTTTATAAAAGTTGAATTATTTTTTGCAGGCTTTGTAGCGGGTTTAATGTAATTTCTGAATATGTAAATTTTATTTACTAAAAATAATCCGAGTTTTCACAGGGATCATTTAACTTTATCGTCGGTCAAACTTCGTAATCCGCAATTGGAACAACATTTAGGGACGGAGGGAGTAAAATTTTGGGGTGTTTTACCAAAAGACAGGAAAAGTTGGATTGGGTTGCCGAAATACGGGGATGTTTTTCCGACTAGCGGTATGGTTCTTGAAAAAAAAAAATCCCCTCGTGTCGGAAGTGGCTAATCCGACAAGGAGGAGTTTATATTTTTTTTTTGGCCGAATTCGTAGTTCTTAACTCTTTGATTTTCAAAGTTTTTAAAACTCGGTTATATAAAAAATTTAAAACTGAAGTTTTAAATTAATTTTATCAATTCCAAATTTAAAAGTTTTTTTAAATTCCTGTCATATTTTTTAAAATGAAAATAATGCATTTTGATTTTTTGAGTAACAAAACATTTGATTGCTTTATATTGTTTTTTAATCCATTTGTGTTGTGAATTTTGTTTTAAATGCAATTTTTGTAATTTTAAGTGCAATTTTGATTTAATCCATTCTTAAAATGAGATACAAATTTGAATTTGTTTTAAGTGCAATTTTTGTAATATTAATGGAAGTGAACAAAACAACGAATAGACAGTAATTTATTAACGAATAGACATTACATACGATATTAAATTTAATACTACATCTAACGTTGCGTGCTTGGCCCTGCTCCGTCCCCGCCGCTAGTGTTCCAAGTCCTCGTTGTGTCTCCATAATAAAACGACGAATTCAGAATTGACTCAACATAATCACCCGCCTGTGTGAAGTACTGATAAGAATCATAGTACGGCGGTGGTTGATCAAATGAGACACCTTGAAGCTTAATGAATTATAAGTTGTGAGTTATTTTCTTTAATCTTCTTCCTGAATATTAATTAATTCCTATTCCTATTTCATATTAATATTTTGAGCATTACTTAAAGGATCAACTAGTTTTGTTTCATATATTAATTAATACTAGAATCGGTCGATTAATACGCTTGTTATTAATTCGGTCCTTTCACGGAAGTAAACTTGGATTATTAATGCATGCGTCTCATGGTTAATAATCTAAGGGGAATTAATTATATTGATTAAACCAATAAACCGCTTGTGTTGAGGTACCCAATCTCAATCGTTTTCATCTTGATTTTATTGCTACTACCGAGTGAATATACGGCGCGTGTTCTATATTGGCTCGGTAGTAAGTTTTATTAATGAACGCGTCTCGTTATTAATAACTACCCTCGATGATTTGGATATACTCCTCGATTGAGTATTCGAGAGGAAGATAGTTAAAGATACAACTGGGATCGACGAACATTTCATTAAGTGGATAAAAGCAAAACCAAGTCCCCTCATCTTTAATTAAATCACATAATTCGTTCATTTTCGTGCTTAAATATAATTTAAGTTCATCAGTCAATCTAAACAAAAAACCCTTGTTATTTATTTCCAGTTTTATAAAAAGAGAAGTATTCCTTTCCCTGTGGATACGAACCTTACTACACTATACTACGTATCAGTGTCGTATTGATTATTATTTTGAGTGCATACGCGACAAAGTGCACGTCAGTGGTTGATCAAATGAGACACCTTGATGTGTTGAGAATTGAGGGGGCGATTGTGATTGTTCACCCTCACCTTCATGTTCATCTGCATCATCCTCTTGCTCGCTTCCACCTTCATCTTCATCTTCATAATGGAATATGCCCCGGTGGAGCATGTCTTCATCACCTGCGTCCAGGGCCATCCGCTGTAGTCGTTTTTGACAGTCCTCATAACTCGCGCGGTGGGCACGCAGTGAGTCGCAGTGGCAACGTGAGTAGTGAACGTTTAACAGGTCCTGGGCGCGGAATGTTTTGGTCCATTTGAAATTCCTAAAATAAGTAGTTATAAACTCATAAATTTGAAATTGAACTCTAAATCTGAATTGGACAAATTTATAAATTCAAAGGTTTTGAACTCAAATTCTAAATCTAACACAATTTCTAAATTTCTAGATTTTTATAGCTAAGTTCAACTCTAAAATTCCAAAAATTCATAAATTCGAAATTTGAACTCTAAATCTAAATTGAACAAATTTATAAATTTAAAGGTTTTGAACTCAAATTCTAAATCTAACACAATTTCTAAATTTCTAGATTTTTATAGCTAAGGTCAACTCTAAAATTCCAATGATTCATAAATTCGAAATTGAACTCTAAATCTAAATTGAACAAATTTATAAATTCAAAGGTTTTGAACTCAAATTCTAAATCTACAACAATTTCTAAATTTCTAGATTTTGAAAATTAAAAACAATTCTATCTCCCCTAGTCGGATTTCCCAATTCCGACTAGGTAGTGTGTATTTAATTAAGCCCTCCCTAGTCGGATTTCCCAATTCCGACAAGGGTAAAACACCCAATTCGAAAACCCTCCTCCCCTGGTCGGATTCGCCAAATACGACTCACGTAATATGGTAACCTAATTCACACTCCCGTGTTTTGGCTTGTCAGACGGGACTTTCCCGTATTTTGGTAAAAAACTCAAAATTTTGGCCGCTCTTGATTTATGGAAAAATACTCTTAGTTGTTCTTATGAATTTCCAGGTGGAGGTTGATTCAAAGGTGGCTTTAACTTACATGTTGGATGGAGGTTTAGAAAGATGGAAAGATGTTATTAAGGAAACTAATATTCCACCTGTGCGATGCACGGGGAATATTTTGTATAAATGTACACGCAAAGATTTCATATAACACAAATAAATAAGGGAAAATGGAAACTAATAATCCAACCTTTTAGCGATCTTCTTTCAATAATCCCACCTTTTGATTATTCATGAATAATTCAACCTTTGCACCTCATCTTCATTCACTGGTCCCTGGCCGGTTGATGACCTGCTATTCTAAACTATTTTCTTATCTTTGCAAATCATTATACCATAAATCTCATCTTTCACAAAGATAATATTTTGCAAAGATAAGAAAATAACTTGGAATAGTAGGTCATTAACCGACCAGGGACCAATGAATGAAGATAAGGTGCAAAGGTTGGATTATTCATGAATAATCAAAAGGTGGGATTATTGAAAAAAGACCGCTAAAAGGTTGGATTATTAGTTTCCATTTTCCCAATAAATAATGCACACATAACAATCACATAAATACCAAATGATTTTTTTTGGGAAGATAAATTCCAAATGATAAAAATATAAATCATATAATTATTAAAATACACATGAAAATTAAAACAGTGATTAAGAGTAGGAAAAAATGTCATTGTAACAAAAGAAGTTCTCATTGTCACACGTAATAAAATGTTATAACAATAGACTATGATGTATAAAGTTCATACATTATGAAATACCAATTTATACACGACATTAGAAGTCTTGTTTGAGCTTTATTTATTATTATCTACCATTAAAATCTTTAATCCTCTTGGATTTGTTAGTCTAGAAGTTGCTATATATAATTGCTCGTGACAAAAAACCGATTTTTTAATAACAAACTGACATGTGAAACTGGTCCCCAATTTTTATTTATAGTTGTAGCATAAGCAACCATGATTGAAATTTGTCTTCTTAAAAAATTAAAAGGAAGTTTCACATTGGAAGAAGTACATGTTGAGTTGGGTTTTAGGAATTCATCACCATAGGAGATTTGTGTAAAATGGTACATGTTGAGGGCTTTCACTATCTTCATTAGTGAAAGAACCTCTCTCATACAAAAATGAATTAAAATAATCCCAATAGTAGTTTGAAGGTATGCTTCTACTTGCATTATTGCATAGTACTCACCAATTCCATTTGTATTTCACACAAGGTGTTACACTTGGAGACTTTGCCTTCGATTCCAAGACGGTATCCCCATTTGTTGATTGGGGCTCACCAATATCACGAACTCGTTCAACTTGATAATTTTCAAATTATAATTTTCAAAATTCTTTTTAAAATTAGATATTAACATAATTTCAAATTGATATAAAAAGGTATATTATATATAATGTTCTTGGAACCATCACCAACTCATGAGTGTTTTACACGTTGAGGATTGGTATTTTGGACTATTTTCTATGTTTAAAAAAAGAGTCAGTTTATTTGATAGAATGCGGAATTTTATCTATTCAAGACATGAAAAGTGGATAAAATATCAATATGTGACCTGAAAGAGGAAATGTATCGTGTGAGACCTGAATGAGTGAAAACTATCAACATGGGACCTAATTTGTTATGAAATTTTTTATTGTTTTATTTAAAAAAATAAATAGCATTTAACTCTATTAAACTAATAAACTTTTGTGAAGAAAAATTAATAATCATTAGCAATGAATTTAATACAAAATAAAATAAATTAAAATCTTATATCGATATAATTCATATTTCAGATCTTTGATTTATAAAATCCCATAAAAATTTAATGAAGAACATTATACTTTTCAGTTACTATTTTTATCTATCTATCTATAATCAATATAAAATTTGGGCAATCATTTATTTCACTCAAAGTTCATATCTTCGTATAAAAACATCATTTTTATACGTATAAATACCTTATTCCCAATATTTTTTTATTATAATTTTCAAATAAGGTAGTCTATCATAAATTGTTAATGGCCCTACTATATTAATGAATTGTATATTTGTTTTAATTTAATTTAACTGAATTGTTAACAGTTTGGACCAATATATTTGTGGACCAATACATTTGCCATGCCCAATCCATCACTGTATCCATCAGTCCATCACACCCGCACTATATGGCAAATTCTATTTACAGCCACCATTTTACTAAATACAACCACATTTTTTTTAATAAATCCAATTATACCCTTAATTCCATTCCCTCGATTCTTTCTAATGTCATCTTCCCCAGGCTACCTACTGAAATCAATAGGGTGAAACTCCACGGACCAGCCATATAAGTTTAAGTTGAATCAATGTTCAAGAAGGATCAGGAGTGGGCATCGCTGGGACCAAGAAAGACCATCTTTGCTGGGACACAGGTACTGTACAGAGCAGAGACACCGGCAATGGGTTTGGAGCAGGCTGTCCTTCCCAGAGCTTTGAGCGCCCATTAATGGCGGACCTTCAAGGTTGAGCTTCAACAACTAAACCCAGAATTACAGAAGGTGTAATCAAAGCCTAGGCTTTCCTTGAGTGGTGGCGGGAGTAACTGGAGCGTGGAAGAGCGACCGGAGCGTGGCAGAGCGACTGGAGAGTGGCGGAGCGACCGAGAACTGGGCGGCGGCGCGACGGAGGTAGCAAAACTCGCCCCGGTGATCGTCCATCCTAGCACCGGATCGGAGACCTTTGCTTCGTGTGACTTGATCGAGCGTGGTGGAGCAATGAATTCCTGACTTTCCAGCAGCTGAACTAGATTCATCCACTTTTTCAGATCCCGGTGATTTCATTAATTTGTATCCGGCAATTTTCATGAAGGTTTAGTAAATGGTAACGAGGGTAATTTAGACATTTAAAGATATATGTGATTGTGTTTAGCAAAAGAATGGCTTCAAATAGAATCACCCGCACTATATCATCAGGGGAATAACTTTGGGGTTTCTGAGATCAACCGATGCATATTCCACCGCAGCTCTCTCTCTCTCATTTCGAAGGGGTGTCCCCAATGTGGTTTTTAATGGATTTTAAAGGATTAAGATTTTTGTGGAATCCTTTAGATTCTAATTGAGTCTATGGAATTTGAAATCCCCTTGGATTCTTTACCAGCTGCTTCTCGGATCAACAACACCAAAAATTCCAATACGTCACTTCATCCGCCAAAAATTATCTTTTATCGTCTGCACATATGAAATCATCCTCTGGCATATGAAAATTCTCTCTTGAAGCATGGATATTAAGCATAGGTTTTAGCGTAGGCAAAGACCATGTTAAAACTGGCCGGCAGTTGATGGACCTCGCTCTAGGGATTTGAGGCTGTTTGATTCTGTTTTTGTTGATGCTCTAAAACGAATTTCATCCCTAATTCCATACCTTGTTTTGGAATTGGAAACGTGCTGGGCGGATTAAAACTCAAGAAACGAACATTCAGTTGGCAGATTTACTGTTCACGACGAAGAGACTTCTGCTTGGCCGTCCAAATCGATGTCTAAATCTGAACTCCGTGCTTGGTATGATGCTCGTCAGTCTGTTGTGAACCACAGCTGAGCAGGGGGCACTAGAAAACCAAAAACGAAGGATTGAATTTTCTCAATGGTGTGTTGTTTTCTCAAAGGTGCAGCACTGGGAGAGAACCTGCGGATGTGGAGTTCAGCTCAAAGGTGTTGGCCGGTTTGTTCTTAACGTGATACGTGATATATGAGATGGATTTTGAAATCCGACCAGGGTGGGAGAGATTTTGGAGGTAATGTTTTATGCATAGAAATCTGCTAGAATCCTTTAAATCCATTGGAACAAATAATAATTGAAATCCATGGAAAGATTGGGGACATCCAGATTTCGATGGAATTCTAAAATCTTTTAAAATCCATTAAAATCCACGTTGAGGACATCCCGAAGTCTCTATCGATTCCTTCCACCGCAACCCTATCTCTGATTTCGAACTCTCCGTCCTTCTCTAGATTCAATGTTTCCATATCTATGTCGATTCAATTTCTCTCAACATAGAAACCATGAAATTTACATATGAAATCGGTAATGTTCGGTAGATATCATATCAGTTATCCATTATTTCATACATACCGTTGTTCGAATTTGATTCATATATCTGTCTTTCTTTGATCCGTAATAGAATTCTTTGCCTTCTTGATAAAATCTTATTATAATTTTGCAGAAGTTGTCTTCTTCAAGGCCTAGCCAAAGGTTTCAGTAGTAAAAAAGAGAGTAAAGGTGAATCGCTCGGCACAGAAGGGAGAAAAAGATCATGGAGCGGTGGATGGGATGCTTGTCGCACTGTAAAACCACGAAGAAAGAGAACTTCAGTAGCTCAGCAGACCGCGGCTAGCTGTCAACAACCGGAATGCTTTCATCGTCCTATAAACTTCCGTCGTATAGGTACGATCGTGATTCCTCTCATTGTACACCTGCGTCCCAGTGAACGTGAGGAAGACCAATAAATAGAATTTTATATAAAACTTTTTAGACTTAAAATCTAGTTCTCGATATCAATATTTTCATCATATATTTTTATGTCATTTGAAGGTGATGTGACTAAAAAAATAACAGTCTTAAGCGAACTCAAGGATAAAGAAACAGAATAAAACAGGAAAATATCACTCTTTGGAGAACTGAAGGTGATTTATGATTATGATTAGCATTCTTTTGTCATACAGGAAATGTTTGATCATTTAAACAACTTGAAATGTTTAATCAGAAAATTTTTGATCATTTAAGCAACTTGAAATGTTTGATTAAACACTTTTTTTACAAATTCTTAATTCTCACATATCTGGTACAACGATTGATTTTATTTTCACATATCATACAATCTTTAATCGAATAAAACCACAGTTATACTTTCACAGATCATACAATATGTTTTTCGTTTGTTTCCTGCCTATCTCAGGTAACAAAAGATAAGTATTGATTCAGTATATCCCATTGTGTACGAATGCTTGAGAACACATATATTTTTAGAATCAGTTATTATTATGTTTTTCTAGCCCGTGAAAAGATTTGTAAAAATCAGCAAGTTTTTAGTGTCCCTATTTGTTTTAAAAGGAAATTTTATTTACATTGTATCACAAAAATCAGATGCATGCAACTTGATTTCTAAACAAAATCAAAGTTGCTACTAACATTTGTATATAATTATTTATATACACTACTACAAAACACAATTTTTCTTTATCTACAACATCTTTTTAAGACATTTAATGCAACCGGCTTGTTTTTTAACTTAAGCTCATATGTCTAAATATTCTCTTCCGCAAGAATTAAAAATAGGAATCTAAATAAGTAATAATCCAGTACCTCCAATCTGGAAAATCTTTTTGTAAGCTATCAAATGTTCCTTTTTTTAAAATTATTTTGATCACATTCAGATTTAATTCACAAATTTATCGTTGATGATCCTTTTTTTATTCTGTATCGCTAAATATGGTTGAACTTTATTAATCATGATAATGAAATGTCGCTGGCAGCAAATCTAATACAAATAAAAAACGGTTAGGAAAACAAAGTCTAATATTGGAAGATTCAAATCTAAAACATACCTCCTGATCATGGGACATTCATATAGCTCGGACCTTCCCTGCCCAATTTGTTTTGCTTTTGTCCACTTCTTTTGTCAAAGTATACTAAGGGAGTGTTTGCAACAGCTTCTGCTTTAAAAAAAGCACTTTTGGAGTGATTTGGAAAAAGTGATTATTTGTAAAAGTTGATAGTGTTTGAGAAAAAAGTGATTTTGAAAAGTAAAAGTTGGTAGTGTTTGGTAAAATAAGTGATTTTGGTGTATAAAAAGTGAAAAAGCACTTTTGACACAAAAGCCGAGAAAAATAAAAAATTGGTAGTGTTTGGTAAATAAGTGCTTTTTTAAGCCAAAAGCTGAGAAGTGCTTTTTTTAAAGTGGTTGCAAACCAGCCTTAAGCCATTCTTTATTTTTCTTGAGTCAGAATATCTTAGGCTGAAAACTGAGTTGCTGATCTCATTCTATACCTATTTATACAGGGATTTGTTTCTGATCTCATTAAGCTAAGCATACAGATGCATTAAGGCTATGTTTGCCTTTGCTTGTGCTTCTCAAAAGTGCTTTTTTTAAGAGATTGTTGAAAAAGTGATTGAGAAAAAAAGTAGGTAGTGTTTGAAAATAGAAGTGATTTTGAGTAAATTGTAAAAGTTGAAGTGTTTGATAAAAAAGTGATTTTTGTGGGCCAAATATTGTTAAAAGACAAAAACGTCCTTTTGAATCCAACTGTTTCTCTTTCTCTCTTGACCTGCGACCTCCTCTTTCTTTCTCGACCAGCGGCCTGCTCTATTATTTTATTTTATTTTTTTGAAATCCTCCTCTTATATGTATCTATACAAATTCGTTGGCATCCTATTAAAACCCAAACTCACTCAAAGTATGTTGAATCTGCAAGTCTGTAATGTGTGTATACATATATATAAATATATATATTCAAAGTATTAGCAAATCGGCCCATACTTCTGGAGGCATGGTATGGCAAATGAAGCTTCTCTCAATTTGTATTGATAAAATCATGGTTGGAGAGCATGGCTTCATTCACACACGGATCTTCAAAATTGAAACTTGAGATGTTTGTGTTTTGTTTCAAGAAAGAGAAGGCAGAGAGGGAATACGACAGTGGAAGGGACGGGTAGGGTACTTCTGGAACAATAAACATTTTAGAATTATTATTATTACGAAAACACCAAGAAGCAAATAAAAGCAGCTCCGACTTGCTTCTAGCTTTTGGGCTAAAGTTGCTTAAGTAAAAGCAGAAGTTACCATTTACAAACACTCCTAATAGCTTTTCTAAAGTTAAAAGCTACAAAAGTGCTTTTTAAAGCTGCCGCAAACACAGCCTAAATGCTCTACATTTGGAGACTTGAAGTTGCCTACAAAACACCCAATCGGGCGCGTTATTAGAAGAGGAACCGTTGTGCAGTACTTTATTGCTACTCATGTAATTGCCGATTGCCTATGAGTAAATTTATTAAAATGTGAAAATTGTAATTATGATTCTGGAATCTTCTGACTTTGGGCGGGAACTTCCTCAGGAAGCTTTCTTTTGCTTTTATATTATAATAATAACTAGTATGGTACCCGTGCGATGCACGGTGGACGATCATTTCAAAATAAGTGTACATTAATGTTGTTACGAAAAGTGAAAGACAATACGAAATTGTTAAATAACATGAGGTGAGTTAAGGAACGAATATGAAGTTCAACAATACAAAATGAATTAAAGTTGACAAAATTGATATCATGAGCATCAAGTTTTGCGGAGTACAATTAAGAATGCATACAAAACGCTTATTTATAGATCACGTTAGCGTCCGCTTCTACGTGGTCTCTCATCTTCATATTGAATTATGATCAATACGTACGATTTGTAACCCTAAGATAACAATGAATAAGTGTTTGTGGCGCATCAATGGTATTTTATAAAAAGGGAAATTTACCGGGATATGACTAAAACTCATTGAGTTTCTCTAAATATGACTAACCTAGTTTTTTTATTAATGTATGACCGAAAATCCAAAAATAAAATAGAATTTCGTTTATATTTAATTGTTGAATGACAAAAATACCCTTATTTAAAATATGTGCATTTTGCACCAATTTCGTCCAATTAAAATTAATGCACTTTATATTGTCATTACTGCACGACATTACTGCACTATATTACTGCACATCCATATTCATTGCACTTCCGCCAAAATTAATTCTCTTCTCATTCACTCTAAGAAATTATTTAGTTTTTAGTTTTTCTTTTTTTACATTTAATAATTTTATTATTTTACACTTAAATTAATTATATTGCGTTGCATGGCAAAATTATTAGTCATAATCACTGCCTAACAAATTTCTCAATGCATTCAATTCATTGTTATGTACAATGCATAGTATTATTTATTGCGATATTCATTGTCATATTCAACACTTATTGCTATTTTCATTACCAATTTTCAATGCCCGTATTTAATGTAAACCCCAATTCAATCAACCATAACATAAAAAATAGAAAAATTAAGAACGAGCACTTTTCACCCAGTATGGCTTTTCCAATTTCCCACGATAGAAAAGGTAAGAAGAACAACTATTCACGGTGTCTCTTTCTTGTTTCCCCTTCCCTAATTCTGAAGCCGCCGTTTCTGAATGGGTTTGAGTTCCAACTTCAAGATCAACCTATCCAAAAGTGAGGCGAATCCCTTCCACGGCTCTAGATCTGTGATTTCGGCGATTTTGCTCTCAGCCCGGACATTTGTGGAAGCAGCGCGGCTGGACTGTGGGCGGAAGTTGTTGGGCGAGCGACGGCCGTTGACGACGCCATGGCACCAGGTCGTTCGGACGGATGTCTTCTCAGGTAGGCCGCACATCTTCTGGGTTGGCTATTTCGCTCTCAGGCCACCAGATTTGCGCGAATTGAATGACTGGCAAACTCTCCGGTTGTGGTGTTGCGGCGTGGCGAGCGGCGGCGTGGCTTTGCAAGGACGGCGGCGGCGTTGTATGTCTCGGCGTTGTATGTCTGGCGGCGGCGTGGGTGGGCAGTTGTACGTGGGGACATCACTACAACTCTACAAGGTTTAGGGTTAGAAGCAATAGGATATTAGACTTTTATAATATTAGTCTAAGGACATATTAGTCATAAAAAATAATTTAATTAATTAGTTATTAATATATTAATTAATTATTACGAATTTTAATTATATTTTGAGAAAAAAACTCATTAGGTCATAGATTGGGAAAGTGATAAAGTTTTAATAATATCTAGGGTAATTATCTCTTATAAAAATTGAAACAATTGCATTTGAAATCTTAAAAGGAAGTTTGATGTGACTTAATGAGTTCTTTCATATTAAAAACTTTTTGTCGTTTCAAACTCCATAAATGTATTTACTTTTTTCTCCATATTAAAAACTGTAAGATGCAAATCAAACTTAAATGTTAAGACATATACTAATTAGTTAAAAAAGTACTCCGTATATAATTACTCCCATAAAAGTATAATGTCATTTAGTAAATATAATCTTATAGATTTAAACATGCATCTCCCGATTTTAAAAAATCTATTGATACTATACATCACCATTAAAAATTCACATTTTATTATTTCATATTTAACTGATTTAATAATATATTTTATATATTTTTTAATATGATACGTAGTAATAAATACTTCCTCCGTCCCAAAATGATAGTCTTGTATTTTCTTTTTGGGATGTCCCAAAATGATGGTCTTGTTTCTCTTTTTGAAAAGAAATATGGGGTCCACATCATTTCACTTTTTTCTATTCAAATCTCAACCACAACTTTTACTCTTTTAATCACTTTATTAAACTTTGTGTCCAAAAGAAATGAGACTATCAAATTGATTGGGACGGAGGGAGTAATAATCTCCTTGACCTAATTTAAATTTTGAAGTTTCATACTTACATTTTTATACAATCTCATATTAACGTTCCCTAATGGCTCTCCTTAAAAAAGGTACAATAGCTTTATCATTATTGTTTTTAAACAAAAACACACTCATAATAATACCGTCAAATTGATTGTAAAAAAAAATACCATCAAATATTGCACCCATTTATATTCTCACTCAGCCAACTATTTATTTTTATTTATTATTTTAATCTTTTACATTTCTATGTTGTACACTCATATTATTTTATTCAGAAGTTTATCTTATAATATTATAGACTACTAAAATGTGATTCAAATTTCTATAAGAGCTCGTTTGGCCATTTGTTTTTAGTTTATTGGCCCTGTTAGCCAATTCTTTTACGAAACTCATACATTTTTATTTCATTGATGAATTATGTAATAATAAAATTAAAATAAGTAAGATTGGTGTTATTTTTCTTGTCAAATTGACTGAAGTTACAGTAAAGACACGCCCTTTAAGATATTTAATTTAAGTGTTACCGGCTCTAAACATGTTATCATGTATAGTCATCATACATAAAATTAATCATCACTACTAAAATCACTACTATAGTTAAAAAAGTATACAAAACGCACATTTTTATTCATCTCCATTTATTTAAACATATATTCTTTATTAGTTGATTCAATTACTTATTTGAAAATTGGTGCCTTTTGAGATAATCATTAAGGAGTATTGAAGGAAGTAAGGAACCTAGAGAGACCATTTTTTGTCATCTAAATTAAATAATCAGCCCCATCACCCAAAACAACTTTGACTCGTGTTAAAAATGATAAAGTTTTATTTTACTTCCCCTCCTCTGATCCTCCCGTTCCATTCCCCATTCCCCTTCTAACCCTCTTCTCAAGGCTGTCAATACCCCTCCTATAGTTTTCCCTCACTGACGTTCACTACCCATACTTTTTTGGATTCTCCACATACGTTAGGTTAAATGTCGGGGGACATTTTCCTAAATTTTACTCCCTCCGTCCCACTATAATTGTCCCATTTTTTTCCTTTGTCTTAATAAATTGGCCTCGTAATATATTTGGTAGTAATATTTATGTGACTCAAATTCATTATTACTTTATTATCACTTTATCGATTCATTATAAACCACAAAATTTTACATTTTCTTAAAAATCGCACCAACTCTCCTTTGTACCAATCGGACCAATCACACTAAGGGAGTGTTTGCAGAAACTTAAACAATGTGTTTTTCAGCTTTTAATAAGCTGAAATTGGTGTTTTCAAATGACAATTTCTGCTTAACTAAAGCACTTGAAAGCTAAAAGATGGAAACAGATTGAGAGATGCTTTAAACTGCTTTTCACTTTTTCTATTATACAAAAAATACTTATTTTATCAAACAATACCAACTTTTGCTTTTTCCGAAGCATTTTTTTCAAGCACTACCAACTTTTACTATTGAACACTTTTTTCAAAATCATTTAAAAATTATTATTTTTAAGTAGAAGCAGTCACAAACATTCCCTAACTCTGCTTTTCAACTCTTCTTTTCTCAGATGTTACATAGAAAAGGGATTGGGTAGGAAGACAAATCCTTGCCCCATAAAAGAAAAGAATCAAAGAGGATTGGGCCTAAGATAGGCCCGTGAGCGCAGTCCAAAGGGAGGGGAATAACAGTCTGCTGCCAAAGATAAAATTGGCAAAGAATAATTGTCCGAGTAACCCTATTTCCAGACTGTTCGTTGAGAGAGAGAGAGAGCCGCTTGTGTGAAGACTGGAGAGGGCCTGAGCATCATTCGTCAATTATCCGGCATCCGTGAAGTATGAGTAACCCTGTTTTGTCTGCGTTGTAGGCTTTTTCGCTCCAGAGTCCAGATTTGGCGAGGAAGTGTGCGACGAAGTTGGCTTCTCTTTGCCGGTGAAGGAATGTGAGTCTGTGGGTGCATCTGAGGTTGTCGGTTCTTTTTGGCTATTCACATTTTTCGAAAATATTCTTATAACCCCTTCGGTTTCCCAAGCATTCTCCCTCTTGTTTATAGATCTACCTATCCTAAAGAATGTAAGCTAATTTCTTTTACAAAAAAATTGATTATTAATTCGATTTTTTTGGATTTTTTGTTTAGGTTTTTGTACTTTGAAGATGGATAAATGCAAAATGTGGTTTTCAGGTGGTCATACTGGAGTTCTGTAGATTGTTGTAAGCACGAAGGAAAAAATCTATCGAAATAATGCAAGTTTGGCTAAACTTTGCCCAACTGCCTATATCTTTACTTTATAATATCATTTTTTGTTGTAAAATGAGGTATTTTCTGAAATTTCCTAATAATCTAATGCCTAGACTAATTCTTACGCAGTCTAAAATACAACAATCAAGCAATTAAGAACCTTACAACACTACTATCAACATGAATAATACTTTAAATAATATTTCTTTTTGTAAAATTATCCTACGTATAATCCAGTCCATAAAATGGTTGAAGCTTAAATAATACTGATAAGTGGTCTGTTAAAGTAATGTTTAAGAAGGAAGTGCAATAATTGTTTTGTAATTGGAGGTGTTATGTACTATAGGCAGCCCTATTTATTGTTAGCCTTATCTGCTGGAGCCTTTTTCTACCTATTTTATTATATGTAAATGTCATTGCCAATATACACATAATTGTCTCATTTTTGCAAATAGATACCGAATCATTTACTGTTAG